CAGAGACTTGGGGCCAATCACCAGGAGATGGGGAGTTCTAGTCCTGCAGCCTTCGGCATCAAAGCCAGATGGGAGAATTCGGACTAGTCCCTGTCTCTCAGCTCAACCCTCCACTCCATGGGGTTGTTGTTGTTGTTGTTGTTGTTGTTGGGAAACTAGGAGGAAGGTGTCTTGGATCTGTTGGATCTGAGTTATTTGTAAAAATAATAAGGGAGGGATAAAAACAATAAGTAAATACAATGTTTTTTAAAAGAGTTCCTTGTTTCTGCTCAAGGTGTCAAACAGGTCTGTGCAAAAACATTTCAGTCTAAAACATTTCAAGCTTTTGGGGAACATCCTTCTTTAAAATATTTTAGAACTGGTTCGATTTTTGCTAAAGCTTGGAGGCATCTCAAATTTTCTAGATTTTAACCTCTTTTGTCCAATGCAGCCAAGCTGGCTGGGCAATTCTGGGAGTTAAAGTCCGCCAAGCGTAAAGTGTCCAAGGTTGGAGACCTCTGGTCCCATGGACGTTTCCAGCTCAAAACACCTTCAAAGTGAAACATTTTGCACATTGAACACAGAAGCGAAGAAATTTAAAAAAAAAAAATCCAAGCAGGGAGTGAATAGAATTGGAGCAATTACCAAAAAGAACACAAAACAACAACAATGGTAGCAATTAAGTTCCAAAGCTCTGCACTACCTTTGCTTGGTGGTTACTCAGCAGCGAAAGTACAAATGAAACTACACAAAGATAATAACAGTCCTCGGCACCTTCATCACGGCAGGGCTGGCCACAACGAGTCACTTTTTCCCCCAGTGCCGCTGTCACTTCAAAACAGTCACTTAAACGAGTCATCGTAAATTGAGGACAACCCGAAGAAAGAAAAACTCCCTGTAGGGTTTTGGGGTGTGTGTGTGGAGTGAATGTTTCTGGAAGTGGTTTGTCCTGGCCTTTTTCCTGCGAGAGAGGGATTGGCCCAAAGCCATCTGCTTGGCCTCGGGCCTACGGGAAGGCTAAAATGCCCCAAAATCTCAAGAGTTTCTAGCCTGTTGGCTTTAACCACTACACCAAACTGGTTCTCGGTAAAGGTGTACTGAAAATGCTTGCTGAAAGGGAAACATACCGTACATTTTGGGACGGGTAGAAAAATATACCTTTTCAAAATGCCACAGTCACAAAGCCAATCCTTAATATTCTAGATTGAACGGGGGTCTTCAAACTTGAGAGCTTTAAGACTTGTGCACTCCAACTCCCAGAATTCCTCCTTCAGTCATGTTAGCTCAGGAATTCTGGGAGTTGAAGTCCATAACTCTTAAACTTGCCAAGTTTGAAGACCCTTGTTGTATGGAGTCTAGTCTGATGTTCTTGAGAAATGAAGAAGCTTCTTGGATGAGAAGCGAAACGCCTTCAAGGAAAAAACAAAGAAAGTCCAGTGGCTTTTTGGAAAAGCACTTTGGGGATAACCGTGACCTGGATAACTGAGAGTCTCCGTTGACATACAAGGGA